CTTATAAGACAATCATATCACAATTTTAACTGGTCAAGAAAAGTAACATGAAAAATTACAATGGAACTAGAATACAGTACACACACAGATGATCCAGCAATGTAATTCTTCATTATTTTCTCCATCATATATGTAAATGAGGCAGATTTGAATGCTTGCTATGTCCTTTACGGTCATGTCACTCCACCTAGGTCAAGATACATATGTGTTCTCATGCTCATGCAGATTAGCTTTCTTCTTCTTTCAATTTCAACATGGGTCCACAAACATAAAATATGAGTTGTTTATGCTAATATTGCATCAGCCTATCAAACTGCATCTTATTAAAATAAAAACGTTCCAGTTTTTGTTCAAACCAAAACACTAATTTACAAAGCAAATTGCAAATACAGTGCTCCCCCAAGTACGCGGATTTTAACCATGCGGAACCCAACTGCAGACAGACCCCGACTTACGACTGCTTCGACTTACGACCGTCGGGACTTACGACCGCCTCAGATTTTTTATTAAATAAATTTTTTTTTTTTTTTCTTCAAATGACACGCATTTTCTATACCGAAACGTTTCCAGTTAATGTAGTCTCCATGTATAATTAGAAAATTATGGGGGCCCCATGTGCATTCAGCTGACTACATTAAAGGTAAGTGCTCAGTCACACTGTAACCATTCCTTATTATTTATTACTTTCACTGTACTGTATCCATTCCTCATTATTCCTTACTTTTACTGTACTGTATTTCATTGTAGAGTTTTTATTAAAAAAAAAAAAAATAAATAAAAAATTTATCTATGTCGGACTTACGACCTTGTCGGACTTACGACCATGTCGGACTTACGACCTGGATTTGGGTCCCTAATCCCGTCGTAAGTCGGGGTCTAGCTGTATTCACATCAATACCATGCAACCCAAATTCCAAGGTACGCAAGGGTTCCAAGTACACGTGCATAAATTTCCGTGTGGCACGGCCAAGTGAAGGAGAGAGAGAGAGGAAGCGAGCAGAGGAGCTGGGTGTTAATTGGCTGAGTGGCCACTACCAACCAATAAGAGACGAAGACGTCACTTCCTGACCGCGATGTCACCAACGACTTGGGCGCCAGTCCCAGTTCTCCTCAAGACACTACAGCGGCTTGCTTTTTCCTGTATTTTTTAGGTGTTTTTGGCTGTTTTTGGCTGTGACAGCTACCATGGCTATTCCACCGACTGCTGTTGGGACTTCAGCACCTGCCCAGCCAGGCAAAAGAGTGAAGTTGATGACCCTGGCACACAAGGAGATAATAGACTGGCTAGACAATGGCAAGAAAAATTTTATTCTTCTTCTTTAAGTGCTTATTTGTTTTATTAATCACCTTATTCACCTAAGGTACACATTTAACTGAGGGTAATTTTTATAGAGGCTATATGCAGGAAAAGTGCTTTGAAAGACCAACTTTGGGTTCATGGTGTGTATCTAGAGGGGTCCCAGAACCAATTGATTTTTTCCCATTAGTTTATAGTACCCAAGTACACGGTTCCCAAGCACACGGTTCCCAAGCACACGCCACTCCGTTGGCACCAAATACCTGCGTACTTGGGGGGAGCACTGTACTCTATGGATTTTATTATGTCTAAAAACAGCATATCACACCTAAAAAGTTCACAATGGAAAATGTTAAAAATATAAGGAATACTATGAAGTTTGTGTTAGCGTAGGAGCATGGTATTTCATGAAGGCTGGCACATGTACACATGCTCTAAAAAAGCTATTTTTACAATTTTCTGTAAGACAATACGACACGACGAATGAAATATTTTGACAACCCTTTCGAGATAACAGAATTTGCGATGTTCATTTTGAACTTCGTGGAGCCCCTCCGTAAAATGTACTTTTTGGAGTGAGCGTACCATGTGTATGATGCACAGCTATGTCAAAGTTAGTCGTACATATTGTTTACAACATTAATTAAGCTCCTACTAACCAATTCCCATTGTATAACCTTTTAGCACCAAAAATTCATCAACTGCATGAAATGATTCATAATTTTGAGGTTACATAGCCAAAATCAATTCTAAAGTCCAGACAAATTTAAAAATGCCTGGTAAGCAAAGAATTCTGGGAGTTTGGTGCGCTGTGGGGTAAAGGTACCAGATGTATGATGTGGTTGTAAAGAAATCAGTCTGCACATGGTATTAGCTCTAACTGGTATCTTGTTTGCCTATCCAATCACTCATCCTCTCACATACTTTTTTAAATAAATGCTGCTTACTGTTCCCAAATATTGAAACCATCCAAAAGTCCCTAACAAGAAGCAAGATGGGATTTATGCTGGAATCAAAGTTAGAAATAATTCACCGACCTGAAAGAGGCCTGCCCTTCACTTGAATGAAGCCACAGAACCATGAGTCCTGGCAGGAGTGGGGATCACAAGCATGCATCTGTCACTGTGCTGTGTGACAGGACTGGTGATGAACCAGGTGATGGAGGTGTGTGTGGTGGCTGTGGGTAGTGGAGCAGGCAGGCACATACAACACAGTTTAAATACATTCTACTCTTCTTTCATATGGGTAAGTTCTCATAATTATGTTCTTGTGATGTGCACTGTTTCAATATACATGTAGATACTGTATATACATACTACTGTATACTGGTCATTCTGTTAATTATCTACCAGGGGCAATGGTTGGTTATTCATATTGTCTCAGGCTTGTGACATACTGTTTAGCAATGATAATGATAATTTCACATACTGTGAAAAAAGATGGAGGACTGATCCTGAAATCCCCTCCCCACTAACTCCCAAATTTTACAACATATTGCAACCATGACTTGATGTACCACCTCAATGTTTTTCTCTGGTGAGCGTTACCATTTTAATTTTGTTACATATGTATATTTATAATTGCATATTTATTTATCATCGAATTTTTGGCCAGAAATTGTTTTTACCAGGAACATTTCTCAATTTACGACAAGGAGTCTAGGGCTAACATACTTCATTTAACATAGTTTCACTTAATGTGGGACTTTTTGGAAACATAAATACATTAAATGGGACATACCTACTTATATTTTATTATAATAACTGAGAATACCTACATGTTGAAAATGTAGAAGACACAAGTGTTAGCTAAACCTCAGTAAAGTACCGTGACCAAGGTCAACAATGATTGCTTTTAATATAGTCACTTACAGTTTTTCACCTCCTAAATGTTTTGCTTTCTCCTGCACACATATCAAAACTTACATAACAGCAAACAGCAATGGACTGAAAAATACCAGGAACATTGGTTATTCTATCACATGCTGAGTATAATGAACTGTTTACAATAATGTAGCCATAACAAAACTAAAAATGACCAGCATAATAAAAAAGTACAGTAAACCTTCGTTTAACCAACCATCAAATAACCAACCCACAAATTTCCACAAATTGTTCTTACCTACAGTCGTAGGCTACAAACCAACAGCTCTTACTATGTCCACAGCTTACTGTCCTACTTCAAATCTCTTTACCGCATCTAATTTAACTTCTAATGTAACACTTTTCCTCTTCTTTGTGACCACAACCAGTAGTGGTGCATAATGCTGGAAGAGCATCAACCAACCACAGCACGATAACAAATATGGCGCCCATGCTAGTCGCTTACACAGCTGAGCACCTTCATCCTGAATTTTTTAAATTGTAGTAACTGTACATTCATAATTTTCATACATATTTTCAGTTTTTGGTACACTACCCCGATTATCCGACTTATCGTTTTTTCTGACCCACCTCTCCCCCCTTAAAAGTCGGTAAACAAGGGTTTACTGTATTAATACTTTCTAGAACAGTGCAAAATTATTCATCATGATTTCTTTACCTGGGTAGTAAATATAAAAATATAAAACAGCAATAAAAATAGCTGGGCATAAGTACTACGAATGTACAGTCCCCTTCACTCGTGCATTTACAGGGGCTCACCATATAAACATTCCAAAAATCATTATCTTTGAGATATTTGTTTTAATATTGTTTTAATTTGATAATATAGTATGTTTATTAGTGAGTTTCCTTCTGTCAAATGTGAAAAAACACAGGGCTGCCACACTGCACAAAACCTGATGAGCCCCAGTAAATGCACTCGTGAAACGGACTGTACATTGTTTCCACGCCGGAGGACAAAAGAGACAGCCCACACTGACTTGGACATATTCATATCAAAACTTACATAAATTTCATGTTTCTAAATAAATGACATGAAAACACTTGTTAGGGTGGTTCATCATATAAAACACTTGACACAAGATAGTCACATGTACGGGTGTACTTTATCATAGGAACTTCACTAGATATGAAGAAGATAGCAGCATATACATTATACACCACAGACTTTTATATCAATATTCTGTAATGAGAAAATTTCTAAACACAACTGTCTTCTAACACAATTTTTTAAATATACTGTTCATATAAATTTTCGGGTTATTGGAAAATCTTAAAACCACACATGATTATGCAAATTACAAAAAACACAAATTGATTATGGGATACAGGGATTCTTATATATAAAAGAGGATACCTGACATAATGTAGGCCACTGAGGGGTATGGTATTAAGGGTCCAGTTCATAGGTTACACAGTTAGCATGATACTGCCTTTGTAGCCCTAATACAGTACTGTATATACTTGCATGTACAGTATAAATGTTCAGTGTGTATCCATGGGTACAAAAATTAGTGTCATGTTAAATATGAACCCCAAAGCTGACCCTAAACAATGTTCAGGGATTATCATGAGAGTTCAAAGTTAGCAAGGCAACATTTTCTTAGCACAAAAACATACTATAAATATCTCCTTTACACATATTGGTTCCAAAATCATTACTGTACCAACTCCTAGCCCCTGAACTGGCCCAATAAGCATATGCTGGTATGTAGTACAAAAATTTAGTGTAAGTGTATCTGAAGTTTAAAAGGGGCAAGGAACCTGAAACATATACATTGTGCTCTGCTGTAAATGGGTATACACAGAAAAGTGAGATGTTACTTCTACATGATCTTTATTCAGTTACTCTTCAGTCCCTACTGAGCAAGTATCATTAACAAAAGACATAGGAATAAAAGCATACATGAACATGAGCTCACACAAATTTGTATAAATGCATTTGTACATACACATTATACACACTAGTGTGTACTGTATTTGCACATTTATGTACATACAGTATATGTGAAAATACTTGCCTATAGCCATACATATGCAAATTAAAAGCACAGCCATACTCTATCTAAACATTACCTTTATGAAGAATGGATCAAGGTGTACAAGAATATGTAAGAACAGGGAAATAGTATGGAGTGGTGCAAGAGTGTTAAGAAAATTACAAGAAATGTCTAAGACAACTTACATAGCAGCCAGTCACACACAAAAATCACTCATTAACACAAACAAACATAAGAGATTGACACTAGCATATAGAGAACTGAGATAACAAGTAACAAGGGCATAATAGAGACACAAGTCTGAAACTCAATGCAAAAAAATGCCATTGTCAGAAAAGGCAATTTTGTAGTTCTTTTAATCATTATTAAAAAATCACCTGAACACATCCATACCTGCTAATTTCAAAGTGTTATGGAGGTATTTCAGTAAAAAAAATCTGTGAAGTTTACAACTGCCAGTATGCTGTACATTATGTAAACATATTTACCCACAACCTTAATAACAATATTGATATATTTGTTGCTTGATACCAGCCAAGAATATGCTCTCCTACAGTATGATCATTGCTGATATGGTACTGGCACAAGCTGTACAACATTGAAAGATACAACTAGAATGAACTCATTAATATTCATCTAGAAAATACCAAAAATGACACTGGCCTTTGTACTGAGGTCCAGGAGTTGTATATGTAATGTTGGAAGGAACTCCTAAAGGATGGAAGACAGGAGGATGAGTCAAGGGAACTTTTGATAATTAAAAATATAAATAAATAACATAAAACAATTTCTTCTAAGCCTTTGGGAAGAACTTATGAATAGTTGGACACATTACTGGATTATAAAACAACAAATGGTTAAGTACTGGCAGCCATAGTAATATTAAGAATAAGCTCTGATCTTCATTAAAGCTCTCAGTAAGGACTATTCTTAGAGGAGAGTAATAAATTAAAACACTTTTATAAATATTAGCTATTCACAAAATCTTGCTCAGGTTTTGCTACATTTCAAAAGAGAACAAGACTTAATGCAACATAGTTTTTCATGAAAGAAAGTATACACACATATACATTATTCATATACTGTATGAATTTCATAAGCATCTTAAAAACCTACTAAATTTCTGTTACATTAACTGTACATGTCATATAAAGTGAAAATGTTCTGAGGTAAAGATTAAAAAAAAAACACCATTCCTGTGATACAAAAATCAGATTCAAGTACAAGCAGGCAATGCAGAAGCATAGTACAGCTTTGTCACTACATCATAACAATTAAGGGTGGTAACACTGTACTGTACTGATAGAAGCAATCAACCTGGTATTTAGCATATATAATTTTTGTACCAAAGGAGCATGTACCTAATCTCTCTTCCACAGCAACAGTATAAGTTAGGTCAAAAGGGACCACTGTTACAAATGTAAACTTTGTGTGTCACAATGAGGAAACTGTTATCTTTACCAATTAAAACCTTTATCATCCACCCACCTCTGAGGTCCAAAGATCATCCACCCACTTTTTGGCATTCTTAGCAACTGTCACAATTCAGAGTAGTTAACAAATGAGTCGTGCCATCATAATGGTTAAGTTATGCCCTATTTCTTCTTTTTAATGTTTAATATAACTTTGTTTTTATATGAAAATTTTGTCTTCACCTGAAAAACCCTGATATACTGTATAACATGGGAGCACAACTTACTTAGCAACCATCAAACAATCAACATGTACAAATTGTGAATGCTGGTCAGGACACCCAAGTGGACACAGTTTAGTTAAAATATGAACTGACAATAAAATGTCAAGCAAAAAATTTTTATATCTACTACAGGGACCAAGCTTGAGATCACAAAATTTCCATTGTACGAGGGGTAATAGTATGGTATCCATCACTATGCTACCATCATAGTAGGGTGTTAGTATGGAGTCCATCACTATGTTACCATCATAGTAGGGTGTTAGTATGGAGTCCATCACTATGTTACCATCATAGTAGGGTGTTAGTATGGAGTCCATCACTATGTTACCATCATAGTAGGGTGTTAGTATGGAGTCCATCACTATGTTACCATCATAGTAGGGTGTTGTATGGAGTCCATCACTATGTTACCATCATAGTAGGGTGTTAGTATGGAGTCCATCACTATGTTACCATCATAGTAGGGTGTTAGTATGGAGTCCATCACTATGTTACCATCATAGTAGGGTGTTAGTATGGAGTCCATCACTATGTTACCATCATAGTAGGGTGTTAGTATGGAGTCCATCACTATGTTACCATCATAGTAGGGTGTTAGTATGGAGTCCATCACTATGTTACCATCATAGTAGGGTGTTAGTATGGAGTCCATCACTATGTTACCATCATAGTAGGGTGTTAGTATGGAGTCCATCACTATGTTACCATCATAGTAGGGTGTTAGTATGGAGTCCATCACAATGTTACCATCATAGTAGGGTGTTAGTATGGAGTCCATCACAATGTTACCATCATAGTAGGGTGTTAGTATGGAGTCCATCACAATGTTACCATCATAGTAGGGTGTTAGTATGGAGTCCATCACTATGTTACCATCATAGTCGGGTGTTAGTATGGAGTCCATCACTATGCTACATCAGTCATTTCCATGTACCATACTCTTGATTTAAATGCACAAGTTAATCAGTCTCTAATTTTCCTCTTTGTCTTATGTGAAGTTATCAGAGTAAAATTTCACAGAGAATACAGAAGCAATGGTGCTTCCTACTTGTGAGGTAGCATATTTCTAGCATACAAAGCTGGCCAAGTCTCTGGACTTTGAGTGACAATGACATACAATGTCAAAACCTGAAAAATACTCCTTAGAGAATTATGGACTTTGAGTAGAAAACATAAAATGCAACTCAAACCCAAAATGATACATTCTCAAGTTGCCTACACATGAGAAGCAGTACTGAATCATATCAAAGATGATATTTTTCGCATATTCAATTTTGGCTATACTGTACTGCACTCCTAAATTGTGGGTCTTATAAAGCAAACATAGGTGTTTTGTCTTTTCCCCATCTGTTAACTTGTTGGAACATTTTCTCAACAGCGATGACAAATTACCCAGGAGGCCTCTCCAACAACATGGTCATGCTCTCCCTCACATGTCACAACCTTTTTTATCAATTCCTTGATTACTGTATATCATTTATAATTAAGAGAGCTTGCCATTTCCTTACTGGCAAAAGTGGCAATGTAAATATTCTATTACAACAATAAAACTGTGGTTACACATATCTAACCCTTAGAATATTTATCCTAATCCTCCTCTCTTCCTTTTAACTAAATCTTAAAAAATAAGCAGATCTAACTGAATTAATGCACGTTATTGAGAACAAAAATTGCCAACCAGAGTAACCACACAATTATAAGTCAAGATAAAAAAATATGTACCAAAAATGGCAATGATTTATGCAAACATTAAATCATAATGACTTCATCAAATTAATTCAACATTCTTGATATATAAAGCTTCATGATCAACATCAGTTGCTTACAATAAAATACCTATTGATACTTTTTACATTACAATAGTATAAATAACCAGAGTAAAGATAAAATGATTTCACTATTCTAGGCCAACAAAAAGTTCTCCGCTACCAGTTACAATAGATTCGTGAAAAATATCAGCATACAGAAATGAAACTAAACTATGCATTTGGCAGCCTATTACAAACAAATTAAAAAATTTTGATTGATTTTCAGTTCCATATTACAGTTACAGTATATAGGTGTATGCCTAATGAAGTTAAGATATTTTCTTATTACCATATAATCTACTGATTGCAATTAGTATTGTCAAGAATATGGTCGCTGTTTTGTACTGAGAATTAATAAAAGTATGACAGCTAATTTAATTGCATATATGTGTTTACAATTTACTTACAAATACATGGACATGTACTGAACCTTACTTTTAGTGATATGCCTCAGATTCATTATTGTATTATGAGCAATCCTAAAAACAGCCTTCCATATTATATATCCAGTATGTAGTTGATCAAAAGTTTTTTGTAATTCCCGCATAAACAGAATTAGTTTTACAGACGACAATGAGGTATACAACAAGAAGCTCACATCCGTAAAAAAAAAGACTCAATTACCTTTACACAGTGTCAATAAAAACACAGATAAAAGTACTAAAAAATGCATTCTTGACAAAATTTTTGTTCATAATGAAAACAAAACAAAATAATGTTTCTGATGATTTTAGATGACACAAACAGAACCCTAATACAAAACAAAACAAAAAATCAGTCTCAACCAGAGTTCACAGATTCAACAGTGTCGTCACAAATGTAATTCAAACATTCACAATTAAACTGACCTCTTGTGAGAAAAGTTATGATGCCATTTTATCATCATGGTCCAGGCATTCCTCGTGGCAGGTTTCTCTCTTAAATACTCGCTACTTCTTGTGGTCAAGACTGGTAGGAAGTTCCGGATTGTCATAGCAGATCTTAGCTGTCATGTCTTTCAAGGGTTCGTGCTCCTTCTGAGGCACCAGGTCAAACTCCATTATGAAGTAATAAAAATGTTTGTAGCAAGTATTAACGTGGGCTTCCTGTAAAGATAAAACTAATCAATTGCCTGTACAGTACTGAACACTGAACTTTATCTTTACAATTTTTAACTTTTTATTTGGATACTGTACAATGAAACAAATAGATTTTATCCAATTCATCTTCTTTTCTTTATATTGCAAAATATTACAAATAGAAATTTTGCAAAGTAGAATCATCAACCATGAATTAATAAATAGTACATTTGTTGCCAATTATGTATTTTTCTTAAACAATTACAAAAGATATGAAGTACAGTAAAACCCTCTTAATACGGACTAATTGGGGGAAATCCAGTCCATATTAAGCATCTCTTTAACTCCTGTGGACTATTTGTGACTTTGTGGACTAATTACCATGGCTTCCAAAAGAAAGACAACTTCAAAATGATGACAGAAGAGGGCCAGAATTGAGTTTAGTCTGGTAAATACATTATGGCCATTATGTAAAAGAATTATGTATATTATACTGCTGGTTAGTGATTCAAGTGATTCAAAAGTGTTTATTTATTTTTTGCCACCATGTGGGTAATCCAGAGTGGTTTGCCAGTCTGAATAAAGCAGAAATCTGGATAAAAAGACTCCAAATTAAGAGGGTTTTACTTACACAGTTTTATAGACATTAATGTTCTTTCTCTCTTAAACTATCACAAACTAAACCAGAAAGAGACTCACTGCTCCGATGGCAACAATGCGGTCAAAATGATGGATGTACACATGGACAAACACTCTGAAGAGCCTGGTGAGAATTTTCTTGCATAAAGGTATAAAAGTCTTGGGAAATGGAACATCTGGAATAAAATGAAATGACTCAATATAATAATTAAGGTACAAAATAGTATGGCATTTTCTAAAAACAGGCAGTCCCAGATTTACAAAAAGATTCCAATCCCCGAAAATCCTCTTGTCAGTTCAGTTTTCGTAAATCATATCAAATTTCCCATAGACTCTCATTATAAAAGCCACAAAATGTCTACATGTATTTAATGACAGATTTTGGTGTACACAATGTTTATAAACCAATAATAAATATATTAAATGAAACACATGCAATGGAGGACACAGCAACTACAGAGAGAGAGGTGTGTGTGTGTGTGTGTAATAATAATAATAATAATTAACGGTTTATTGAAAGAGCTTGGCAGCCAGAAGGCTGAAAATATACTGTTACATATTTGGGGAATGGGTTTCGAATTACAAATAATATACAAGTAACATAAGTGATACAAATAAGATATATAATAACTAGATGGGGAAAAGCTCAAACTACAGTGCATTTCAACATAGTGACAGTGCAAGAAGTAGTATTTACTGTGAGTGAATACACTGGTTTATTTCAAGTTATTGATAATTTTTACAATGGTTGGGACTGGGCTGTTCTTATAGCGATCAGTTCGTGCACGTATGGGCTGGATGCGGTCGTGGTGTCGAACAGCAATTCTTGGGCTAGGGATCTCAGGTGGTAGTAGGAGCCGGTGTCGAGGATGGTGTAGAAGCTTCTTACCAAATTTGCAGATGAGGTCGTGGTGATGGTCAGTGAGAGTCGAAAGGGTCAGTGTATTGAGCGCTTCTTGATATGTGGAGTAGGAAGGGGAGAGAATAATCTTGCATGCCCTCTTTTGCACTTTTTCTAGGTGTTTACGTTGTGTGGCATTTAGGGAGGAAGACCAGGTAGGGAGGCATAGGTGAGGAAGTATGAATGTTGAGTAAACACTGAGGAGCTCAGTGCAGGAACTCCGAGGGACTTGAGTCGGCGGAGGAGGTGGAGACGGAAACTGGAGGATTTGACAACTTCACTGACGTGTGGTTTCCAATTTAGTTTGTTGTCTATGGTGACGCCGAGGAGCTTAGTGGAATCTACAACCTGGAGTGTGTTCGGACCTAAAGTAATGGAAGGAGGTGGGACAATGTCGGAGGAGAGGTTGATGTGCATAACCATGGTCTTGGTATGGTTGATGGTGACATGGTTGTTGGTGGCCCAGTTTGGAGACTGTTCAATAAATCCTGAAGGGCGGTATAGTCGGGAGCAGAATTGTTGACGCTGATCCCAATGGTGGAGTCGTCGACATATTTCCAGTGAGCAGGGGTTTCTCTTAGGGCATCATTGATGAGCATAAGGAAGCAGAGTGGTCCCATCTTGGTGCCTTGGGGGACGCCACAGGTGAGTGACTGAAAGGTGGAGACAGCCCCTCGGAAGCGTACAGCTTGGCGTCGGTCACTGAGGAAGTCTGTAAGCCATGGTATAAGACTTCTCCGAAGCCCGAGGTCAATAGCTTTGTTGATGATTATATTGTGGTCGACTAGGTCGAATGCTTTAGTGAAATCAATGAAGGCGACAGTTACACGTTTTTCGTTTCTCGAGATGGCGGTATATGTAATCGAGAAAGCTGACAAGACAGTGAGTGGTGGAGGAAGTTTTATTGCCAAATTGCTGAGGGTCTACGACTCCTGCAATATCAGCATAAGCCCAGTCGAACACAAAACTTTCACAGATTAGGCTGGGTATTGGGGTGATTGCAATAGGTCGTAGCTGATTTAAGGATTGTGGGCTGGTTGACTTGGGCACTGGTGATACATAAGAGGTCTTCCAGTCAGCTGGGCATCTGGCTTGACTGAGAGAAGCATTGATGATGGAGCATAGGGGTTTAGCAAGCTCCGGGGAGAACTCCTTGAAGAGTTTCATTGGTAAGTCAATGGGGGTGGTAGAGCGTTTTAATTTTAGTTTGTCCAGGCGTTTTGCTACTTCAAATTCTTCTACTAAGTCAGTGGGAAGGGGGGCTGGTAGGTAAGCAGGAGAGTGGTTGTGTCAAGCCGGGGGAGCGTCTGGCATATAGTAGCGAAATGGTTATTTGATTGCTGAGCTGCGTCAACATTAGTGAGATGGCTAAGGAAGGGGAGGGGGTGTGTCTTATTGTTTAGTCCACAGAGTTCTTTAAGCTTACCATACCATTGACTGATGTTGGTCTGCTTCAGGTGTTGTAATTTGGTTGGGTAGTGAGACTTCTTTGCAGTGCGTATTTCGCGAATGACGCGGTTGCAAAGGGACCTGTAGCGGATGTGGTCATTGAGATGAAAGGCTCTGTCTCTCTGTTGCATAAGTCTTTTGATCCGAGGTGTGATCCAGGGCAAGTTAGCTGAGTGAGATCTGACGGACTTCTCAGGGAAGAAGTGGTGGTGAGCTTCCGTGGTGGTGTTGGTATAATTTATCCATTTGGTTTCCACGTCATCCACGCTAAGTACTTCAGTCCAGGGATGATGAACTATCCACTGCCCGAAGAGGCGCACTGCAGAGTCAGTAATCGGCCTGTAGGTCTTGATGTAGGGTCTCTGTACTTGAGTGGGAGTGGCAGCTGGGGACCAGAGCACTGATAAGTGTGTGCTACACCCGATAGGAGGCATTGGTTGAGGTGGTTGGTACTGGTCCGCTAAGTCAGTTAAGATAAGGTCAAGGGTATTTTGACCATGTGTGGGGAAGTTCACAACTTGTGATAGTGATAGCTGGTCCTGGATATCAGTGGTGTCAATTTCATTATAATCCCCACATAATACTAACTTGGCACATGGGTACCTAACTCTAAGGTGGTCTGAGGTGGTAATGGGATGATTGATAAGAGTGTCTCTGGTGGGTGAGCGAGGCGGATGGTATGCCACACAGATTATGATGGAAGCAGAGTGGCGCAGGTGGGCCCGTGGCACAACACGTACCCATAATGCTTCCACATCTGCTGGGACTTGAACATCCAGGCGTGACGGGTGTAGGTCATCTTGACAGAAGAGGGCAACGCCCCCTCCGCGTCTATGTGAACGAAGGTGATGAAAGAGTTGATATCCCTCAATATGACACGTTTCAGGCACAATTTGCCAAGCCTCACATATGGCAGCGACGCTCGCGGCGGCTGACCTGACTGTAGTTGCCAGCTCGTCAAACTTGTTAACTAGGGAAGTGACGTTGGATAGCAGTAGAGACGGGAGATCATACCATATCCGTGGAACTTCAGTGTAGTGGTATGGTCTGTCAGGGGTGGGTTTCTCCGGTTTCCTAGTGGAGGTTACATTCCTAATGGGCTTATGTGTATGACGGCCCTGTCTACGGCTATGCGCGTGGAATATGTTCAGTGACTTGAGTCGCGCGATAACACTGCCATCAGGATAACCGTTCCCACGCTTTAGATGGTACAGTGAGAGTCGGGAGTAAGTGATTGGTGGCCATCTGTTGATATCTGTTGTGGGCGGACGGAAGTGTTTGTCTCCGGTGGCCATAAAGTCACTGACAGCACTTTGAGGGCCATTGACACTGGTAGACATCTGTTAATATTTGTCAGTCGTAAAGACCGTGGGTCTTTGTCCCTGGTGCTTGGGGTCGCCGACACAGTTTTCACGATATATGTAAACACCGCGGTGGTCCTTGTCACTGGCACTTTGAAGGTGACCGATAAAGTGCCCACTGTCTGACTTTTCCTTGGGGTGCACTATCGGAGCACTGTATGATAATCACTTATTGCACTGATGACTTGAATGTTTTGCTGAGAAAGTCCCGGTCAGGTTAGGTCGGGTCCAGTCACACTCAGTATTACACTGCTGTGCTTTTGTGCTTTTCCTTAAGTGCACTATAGGAACACTGCTCGGTAATCAATCGTTCACTAATCACTAGAATGTTTTGCTGAATAGATCCCGGTATAGTAAGGCTGGTAGGACGTTAGGATATAGCAGGGGGAGGGGGCAGGGCCAAACAGACTCGGCCTGGCTGCTAAAAACCGGGAGTGCCTTCGGGGCACGTCTTGTCTCACCGACGATTGACAGGGTGTGTGTGTGTGTGTGTGTGTGTGTGTGTGTGTGTGTGTGTGTGTGTGTGTGTGTGTGTGTGTGTGTGTGTGTGTGTGTGTGGGTGGGTGTGGGTGGGTGGGTGGGTGGGTGGGTGGGTGGGTGGGTGGGTGGGTGGGTGGGTGGGTGGGTGGGTGGGTGGTGTGTGTGTGTGTGTGTGTGTGTGTGTGTGTGTGTGTGTGTGTGTGTGTGTGTGTGTGTGTGCGTGCGTGCATGTGTGTGTGTGTGGACACACACACACAAAACAGATACAAATAAATAATAATGGGAAAATACTCACAAATAATGAGAAAACAAATTATTAAAAATGTGACAGTCTATCCTCAAGTCCGTGCTCTATTACTTTATTAATAGAGCACGGACTTGAGAGTAGACTGTCAGATTTTCAATAAATTTGTTTCATGACCTACTTGAAAAAAAAACGGATCACACAAACGAAAAATTTGCCAAATTGAAAATATTAAGATTTGAAGATGTTAACACCCTACTGCTGTGCCCTCTTTGTTTACAAATCTATCAATCACTTGCTTGACAGTAATTATTTCCAGTTCCAAAATAATCAGATACAACTTAAGGCACCCAGAGCTACTAAGACCATCCCCCCATGCACTCCTCTCAGTCCCAAACCTCCATAAAATATCAAGGTGTGAAGGTGTGGAACAATTTACCCCCACCCATCCGAGCAAAGACTACGCTCCCTTCCTTTAAATCATCTCTTAAAAAATATCTATTGTCTAAGTATAGTACAGTATTAATATTTCTTGTAATACCTACTATATTTACAGTAAATGCTTTTATTGTACCATCAAAACCATTTTAACGGAAATTATCATGTAAATAGATAAGAAATTACCATTGCAATAAACATAATTGCCAACTAGAAATAATCCTGACAGCTCTGTCCTCTTGTTCAACCTTAATTCTGTACAACCCATGTTGTACTGCTCCCCCATTATACTTATGTTTTCAATTCCTCTGTAATTTATGTACTGCATATACTTATAATAGAAATAAAAAAATAAAAAAAATAATAATAATACACAAATAAAATAAATAAATATTGAAGTGATAACCGTGATAGCATTATGAGATGTTCTTATTACCACCATGATATTGTACTATTCCAGATGTTATTAAATGTTACATAATACTTCCTTGAGATAAATGTATACTTGTAGAATATATCAAGTGCCTAAAAGAGAACTCAGGTTCTCAACTGGCTCAGCCATGTTAATATTGTTATTATTATCCACCCTGTATCTGTGTTTTTCTGGCTAAATAAACTGTTTCAATTCAA